CAAAGTGAGACTCCACCTAAAAAACAAAACAAAACAAAACAAAACAAAACAAAACAAAACAAAAAAACAAAAAACAAAAAACGGATCCTGTAACTTAGTAATTCTTAAGTCTGGCTCATATTAGAATTATCTGAGAGGATTAAAAAGTACTGTTGCCTGGTGGCCATGTGATTCTAATAGAATCCAAACCTCTGGGGTGGGACCCTGGCTCTAGTCATCTTAAAAGCTATACCAGATGATTCTAACATAATCTAGGCTTCAAAATCATAGATATAAATGATGTGGGAGATGAGGTTAATACTAGTACCTGTTGTAGAGTGGTCCAAGCTGACTTGACACAGTGTGATTCCAGGTTATTTTCTCCAAACCTAATATGTTCATGGATTGCACCAATAGAAGTATAGTTTCTGAATGAGAGAGGGAGTTCTTGCTCTCTTTGCATTAGACCCAGTATACCTGCAAAGTTTGTTTACTTCTCAGCACCTCACTCAAGGAGGAAATGAAGGAAACTGAAATATTCCCAGGAAAGAAGCCAACCAGGTGGCAAAGGCAACATAAACCACAATGGACAGGAATGGTCCAGTAGCTCCAGATATGTTTAATCTACAGTCAAAATATCTTTTGAAAAGGATGATGTAGGAATCTCAGTTTTCAAGTAAGTCAAAAGATGTTATTTATTCAATGGGTAGAAATGAGGGTCTATGATATACCCATCCTAGGCATTGGAGAAATGGCAGAAAATGAAGTAGACAAAAATCCTTGCCCTTGTGGAGTTTATGTTCAAGTAAAGAATGAAGTTTTTTGGTTCACATGATCTTTAAGATTATAATTTTTAACCAACTTCTGTGATTAGCTATCACAGAATGTGTTATAGGGAGACATATCTTAGTTGCAATTTTAGAACATTAAAAGTAGAAATCTGAGAAGCAAAGAGGTCACCACGTATGGAAGGATTTCAGCAGGAGCAGTCATTGTAGAGGGGATTCAGGAATCTAATGCTAAGGATAAAAACGGTGTGATAGGAAGGAGACTCAGGAGGAGTTCTTTGCAAAACTGAGAACCAAGTACAGTCCTATTGTATTATAGACTAGCAGTGCTTACATAGTTTGATCATTTTCTGTGTAACATGCATTTTGCTAAGTGCTTACCACACATTATATTGCCTCACATAATATTTGTAACACTCATTATATAGGTGAAAAGAATGAAACTGTCAAATCATAATTTTAAACAAGTTAAAAACATGACATGTAAATATGAAATGAAGATATATCAGACATTTTGTGTGACTTTTTTTTTTTTTTTTTGAGACGGAGTTTTGCTCTTGTTACCCAGGCTGGAGTGCAATGGCACGATCTCGGCTCACCGCAACCTCCGCCTCCTGGGTTCAGGCAATTCTCCTGCCTCAGCCTCCTGAGTAGCTGGAATTACAGGCATGTGCCACCATGCCCAGCTAATTTTTTGTATTTTTAGTAGAGATGGGGTTTCACCATGTTGACCAGGATGGTCTCGATCTCTTGACCTCGTTATCCACCCGCCTTGGCCTCCCAAAGTGCTGGGATTACAGGCTTGAGCCACCGTGCCGGGCTTGTGTGACTCTTTAATAGGGGAATTGGTGTGATGGTAAGACTGGTTCCAATAACATCTGAGTAGCTCCTTATTTATAGGTTTGTTAACACAGGGATGTTAGCAGAGATTGCTACCTTGGGTACAAGACTGGTAATATTCTGTAGGGCAATAAATTATCACATTTGAGGTCATTTTCTCTACTGAAAAGAAATTATTTGCATTTTTATTGGATAAAAGTCTCCAAGTTAACATGTACCTCTAATAAATGTGGAAACCTTTTTCAATAGCAAACTAAGTTCAACAAATGACACTCCCCTTAAATTCTTCTTGAGAGGACCTGTTAAGCAATTCCCACATGATACTGAAAAAATAAAAACATAACTACCTTTTGGCTTTCTTTTTCAAGTTTTGCACGATGTTTCTTAATATTAGAAGAATTAACTAAGTTTTCAGGATTTTCTAGCTAGCAGTAATAAAGCTGGGTCTCAGACTGAGGTCTCTCCAGATGTCCACACTGAAATGAGCCATATAGCAGGTCTTTGGGGAGGCACGGGCGCAGGGTCTCATGAATCATATCAGCATTGATTAGGGCTAAGTCCGAGCTTCAGTTCTTCTGTTTTTGTTTGTTTGTTTGTTTGTTTGTTTGTTTTTAACTGGTAACCAGAGCATTCAACATCAACTTCTTCGACTATTTAAAATTTCTTTTGTTTCCCCCAAAAGAAGCTGGGCACAAAATGTGAATAACAAGCAACAAGCAGTTCATCAGCCATTTGCTACCACTGGCTCTAAGACAAAGGCTGTGGAACCCCACGTGGAAATCTGATTCTTTAGAGTTTGTAGCAGCTATTTTCTCAAAAGATTTCTTCCTCAACTTGTGGGATTTTATTTTGCCATTGTTGTTAATTTAGGATGTTGCAGTTTCCAAACATGGATATTGCAATTGTTAATAGTCTTCTATTTATAGAGTGGTACTTTTGAGCTCTTAAGGTATAAACAGAAAGGCCTGTTCTCTAGAATGGCACTTAGTTCAGCCTAACATAACTGACTGCGGATTTGATCTCGCTGTTTTTCTTTTCCGTGAGTTAATCTCAAGGAAAGAATTTCAGTGTTAGGTTTAGGGAATAAATGGAAAGTAGCTGTGTGGCTGGCTTAATGTTCCAATAAGGCTTCAGGACAATTCTCCAAGTTTAAGGTGATAGGCCCCTATTACATAAAGTTAAAGCAGCAAAAAACCTAGCCACTCAAATACTTTACTCTAGAACTCACATTAGATGAGAGAGTACAATTTTGCTTTTAGGTTAGAGAAAAGGTTTGGCTTTTGCTCCATCAAAAATAAAGTAAACCGAAATGTATTTGTAGGCAGTAATAAATAGTTTACATAGATTATCTCACTGAAGCCTTACCAATTCTGCAGGTGGATTCTATTATTGTTCCCATTTCACAGATGCAGAAACAGACGGAGAGAGGTTAAGAAAGCTGATGAGGGTTTATAGCCAGTAAGATGCAGAGCTAAGATTAGACCCAGGCCATCTGATTATAAAGCTAGATGATATTGCCTTCCCAAATTATGCTGCAGTAGAGGAAGCACATAGGAAAAGAGAGCATGCCAGTTAGAAAGGCGATCATTAAAAAATCTGGAGACAACAGATGCTGGAGAGAATGTTGAGAAATAGGAACACTTTTACACTGTTGGTGGGAGTGTAAATTAGTTCAACCATTGTGGAAGACAGTGTGGAGATTCCTCAAGGACCTAGAAATAGAAATTCCATTTGACCCAGCAATCCTATTACTGGGTATATACCCAAAGGATTATAAATCGTTCTGTTATAAAGACACATGCACATGTATGTTCATTGTGGCACTGTTTACAATAGCAAAGACCTGGAACCAACCCAAATGCCCATCAGTGATACACTGGACAGGGAAAATGTGGCACATTACACCATGGAATATTACGCAGCCATAAAAAATGATGAGTTCGTGTCCTTTGTAGATACATGGATCAACCTGGAAACCATCATTCTCAGCAAACTGATACAAGAACAGAAAATCAAACATCACATGTTCTCATTCATAGGCGAGTGTTGAACACATGGACACAGGGAGGGGAGCATCACACGCTGGGGTCTGTTGGGGGATATGGGGCTAAGGGAGGGACAGCAGGGTGTGGGGAGGTTGGGGAGGGATAACACTGGGAGAAATGCCTGATGTAGGTGATGGAGGGATAGAGACAGCAAACCACCATTACGTGTCCGTATCTATGCAACAATACTGCAAGATCTGCTCATGTCCCCCAGAACTTAAAGTACAATAAAAAAAAAAGAGCACTAATCCCATTTCTAGCTTTAGCTCTGGTATTAACTGTCTTTAAAACCCTGGACAAGTCATCTCATCTGTCTGGTCCTCTACTTCCCTCTGTAAAATAAAGGGTAGAAACTAATTTGGATTGGATGATCTCTGGGGTGTCTTCCAACTCCAAAGATCTGATTCTGTAATTGCATCCTGACCTTAGATGTATACAAGCACCTCCCACGCACCCCCACCGCTGCTTCCCAAGCCGAAAAACTATTCCTGCTGAAAGTGTCCACTGTAATTTGATGCTAAGCTCAAGACCCCGCTGAACCTACAACATCCGCTCAAGAACATACAACACTTACAATCAGGCAAGCCAGTTCTTTTGAGTAAGTTGCTAATGGGGTGTGATTTTTGGAAGTAAAATGTTAATACCAAAAACAGAAAAAAGAAACAGTTCGAAACAAATGCTCCTCTCTTAAAATCACCGCTTTTCTGCAGTGTTACCTTGACAACTTAGCTCTTCCTCTTTACATACGGGGAGGGGGGAGGGTTCAGTGTAGAAGAGGGGTGTCCTCCTCCTGTTTTGAGATTTCCTCTTGTTGCATTGAAAGGGAAAATGTCAAAGGTAGAGCCCCAAATCCAGCAGAATGTATGTACGCAGGGCATCTTGAGGGAGTGTCATCCAGAAATAATCACAGGTGCACAGAATTAGGACACATTCTGATTCGAAGTACATTCTTTTTTCTATTTCTCATAACCATAACACACGTTGCAACAGCCTATAAAATGTTATATTTTTGGACCAGCACAGTTACAGAGCAGGGAGCAGCAAAAGTGCCTAAAAAATAATTGCATTATTTTTAGTTACTGCAGCCAGAGATATACATATCAGGGTGAGGTGACAACTCTTAAGAACTGTACCTGTCTGGAAATGCTAAAAATATTGCTCCCCCTCCAGCAACTCAAATTTTGAGCAAAGACTTAGGAAGCGGCAGGTAGGGAGATCAAATTAGAATTTACGTCTCTCAGCTGTAAGAAGCTTGTTATCAGGGCTGGCAAGAGCTCAGGGGGCTGACAGGGGTCAGCTGGGGACTCAGGTGTAAGGAGCAAGTGAAAAAGGGGCAGTGTTGAGCAGAAGAGAGGGCTCGTCTCCAGCATCTAGCACTACAGAGCAGAGGCTGTGTGGAGAATGGCTGCAAAATCGGACCCGGTGGTCGAAGCCCTTTCCTTCCTGGTTGTGAGTACGAGCCCGGCAGACACCATGAACGCTGTTGCAGGGGAGTGAGCCTGTGCTCGACACATGTGTTTCCCATTGGTAGCTGGAGACAGCCCAGTAGCTGTGAGTCGGTCTGACAAAGCCACGTTGAAGCACAGAGTACGGTTTCAAAGCAGTCCGAAAAAGGACGGGAATGCTGTTCAGGAAATTCTTCAGGCATGGGCAGGGACTTGGCTGCGGTGCTGCACTTGGAAAATCTGACGGGGGCAGCTTCTGAGCACAGGCCGGGCCTGCTCACGCCCAGCGGGCCGAGCGGCCGCCGCCGTCAGAGCTGCTCAGCACGCCCCGGGGTCGCCAGCGGCTTTCACCGGCCGGTGTGTGCACCGGACAGGAGAGGTAGGAGACTGTTCCGTTCTTGCCTCTGCACGCCTCTGTTCACTCTCTGCCTGCCTACTGTGTTTGCAGGCACTCCGGGTTTTTAATGTGTGTGTGTGCCTGTGTGTGTGTGTGTGTGTGTGTGTGTGTGTGAATTAGCAAGTCACAACTTGGTCATGTCAACAATGGGTATGGGGCTCTCATCTGTGCTTTTCCCCCTTGAAGGTCTGATTTTCAGCAGGGCAGAGAGACTTTTTCTAAGTTAGGATTTAGCTGGCAACATGATTGTGTAAGGAGAAGTGTGTGAATTCCTTACGTTGTCACCCTGCTCCAACCATCTGTAACTTTTCCTTTCTGCGTGGAGGGACCGTTCACTGGCAAGGAAGATAATTTTAGATGAAACTGTCTGTATACTTTGCTTCGCAAGAGTTTTAGGAGGGGGAGATTTTTCTTTTCTCTCTCTCTCTTTTTTTTTCTTTAGCAGAAAATGGCTCTGATTTTAGGAGGGAATCGGAGTTTGAAGTTACTATGTTGGATAACACTCTCAGACTGTCGAAACAGATACGTGTGTATGGGTTTCTAAAATCTTTTATAGGGAGTTTGACTGTCATTATCTGGGATTTGATTGTCAGTGATATATTTGCCTAGAAGTATGCTGGATCAACATTTGTAATTCTGTTTCTGTAATCATTTCCAATTTTCTCACTTGAAGTAATTTGCAGTTTTACTCTCAAAAAGTACTTCTGTATTTTAGGAAACATAGATTTAAAAAGTAACAGAAAATGGCAGTTTACTCAAAATTCTTCTTAAAGGACAGAGACATAATGGTGTGAATCTTATTTCATTGATCACTTGGTTTTATTTTACACCTTACTGAAAAAGAGAGCTTTTTATAAAAAATCAAAGTTTAAAAAATTTTCAGCACAACAGGGATCTCAGTTTTCCTCTTTAATTTTGGATCTTCCTTATCAACTCTATTGCAATATAGATTTTTTTCCTCTCCTAGGAAAGCTATCTCTTGTTTTCTGCACAGCATTTAGAAAACACACAGTACAATGTCATTGCCTTTGAGAGACTGGTTTGGACCCGGCAAAGCCGAGCTAAACCTTACAACTGCTTTACAATGACTAGCCCCGCAATCTGTGACAACATTGTTTTTTTCTGAAGGGGGCTTGGCCAGGAGTCTGGCTGGGGAGATGGATGAATGAATGGAATCTTGGATACGTCTTGAGTAGCTGAAGAGGGACTAGACCTCTTAGGGTGGATCCCTGTGACAACAAGTGTGCGTTTACTTGTGTCTTAAAACCTTTAAACAAGTAGCTAATAAAAGAGCATAAAGTTAATCCTGAAAAAAACATGGAGAGCCGCTGTTTCTCATTTCTTCCTCTGCACAGGACCCAGAATGAGTAGGCACATTTTCTGTCCTATTGGTAGAAGGTCAGGATTTTCAGCCAGCAATTTTCTTTCTTCCTCCACTGTGTTGTACTTGCAGAAGGGAACTCGGACATGACTGGCAGCAGGATATCTTTATTCTAAGAGATAGCTCATGAACATTGTCCTTATTAATTTCGTCTTTGTGTTAGGGTGGTATGAGGAGGGCTTGGGGACCACAGGACTTCAGGAAAGGAAGGGGGTGTAGAAGTCAGGATGGACTTTTTCTCTCTCTTTCTAAAGTGCCTAATAAGTGAGCAAAATGCCAAGACAGATTAGGAACTGGTATGAACCATAGCAAAGCCCATTGCCAATGAAAACGGGAGCCTTCCGTGAGCTTGAGTGTCATACCCCTCTAAATTTAGCGTGTCAAGCGTTGAGCAGAAGAAGAGTGAAATAGCAACTCCAGGTTGCAGGATTATAAAGAGCAGTGCCAGAAACTTGGTAGAAACTCTTTAATAGTTTCTCTCTTTTTTTGGAAGTAAAGTAGGGAAAAGTCAAGCTCTCTTGACATTTGCAGAGGAAAAAGTAAGCAGAAGAAAGGGGAAGGATACAGAGGAAGAAATCCAGGGCAGAGGTAGAGGCAGTGAAGGGAGAGAAGTGGCCACGCCACAAACTGGGCAGTGAGTGTGGAGGGAGGAACCCTTGGCACGGGAATGAAACACACGTATTAGAAACAGCCAAAGCCGCTAGGCACTGATTGTTGGACTGGAAATGTGCAGATACTCTGTGGCCTTGGGGAAGAGAATTGTTTTAGCCACTTCACCACAGGAGACAGCAGGGTCCGCCTGCCCTGCCTTCTGGAAGTAATCAGAAAGCACATTTTGTAAGAATGGCATTGCCTGAGGGTTCAGATTTCCTAGGCAAGGAGGGGGCAGGCTCTTAAGGCCTTATTTTTAACCCATATTTGTTCCTTGCAGAGACATTACTGCTGGGAGTGTTGAGTGAAGGGACCAGGTGGAGATGGTGAGTAATTCCAGGGAGCAAAGCTTGTTCAAGGCCCTGTGCATGGTCATTTTATTACTAACATAAACTTCAGAAAAAGAGAGAACAAAGTGTTACATATGCCTTATTCTGATGAAGACATCTCTTTAATTCTACTTTTTTATTTTAAAAAAATCTCCAAGGACACATACTACGTTGTTGGCTGTACATGTGTTGACTGTCCCAAATCCAAAAATCTGAACTCTGAAATGTTCCACAGTTTGAAACTTTTTGAACACTGACATGATGCTCAAAGGAAATATGTACTGGAACATTTCAGATTTTGGGTTTTCAGATTTGGAATACTCAGTGGTATGTATAATGCAAATATTCCAAAATCCAAAAAAGTCTGAAGTCAGAAACACTTCTGGTTTCCAGCATCTTGGATAGTTTCCTAAGCCATGTCTGAGGAACGTGCTGGTACCGGGGGGCAGAAATGGGGTTGAGAGAGGAGGAAAGGTAGAGGTTGAGAGAGGAGAAAGGTCAGAAATCGTAGGTCAGATCCTGGCCCCGTTCATCTTCAGATCTCATGTTTCCCATCTGTAAGATGACCTGATACCCCTGAATGTTTTTCTGTTTTCACAACCTATGATTTTTGTAATCCTGAGGTTCTTCCTTTTCATTAAGAACAACTCTTCATCTGTCTCCCTTAAGGCTGCATCTTTGAGTCATTCCACAGTTTCTCCATTTTTTCCTGGACTCTTTCTTTACTCTTCTCTGAACATATTTCCTTGAGCCTTCTCCCGACAAAAACTGTGGCTCCTTGAACTCGCCTTAGTCATCTGAACAATGCACATTCCGTGGTGAGGACTCCATACATTTGTGAACCCGAGAGGAAGAGGGTGATTGTAAGGAAAGGGAATAGTAAGAAAGAAAAAATGGAAGGTGGGATCATCTTGAGGTGGAAGAGAAATGGTTATATTGTGCACTGAGCTCAGGGTCTAAGTCAAACACAGACTGGGATCCTGGCTGTGAGGCCTTAGACAAGTTACATTGTCTCCAAATGTGTCCCAGTGTTCTAATCTCTAAAATGGACATGATAAAAGTATCTACCTCATGGAGCGTTGTGAGATTGTACAGATAATGCGCTTAGCATTGTCCTTTGCACACAATAAGCACTTAAATATGTCAGACATTTTAATACATGTGGTTCAGGTGAACTGAGATAGCCCCAGACAAATCAACAGAGTAAAATAGGCAGATCAAGGTAAAATGAAGAATTGAGACAACCGGCAAAGGAGAGGATGTTTTACTCTGAATTGTCTGGGTTGCTTTTCCTATGTTGCCCAAATTTCTCTAGAGATACCGCATTTCCCTTTGTTTCACTTTTGTTTGCCACACAGAAAGGTCTTCATTATTGTTTCCAATTCCTGTTGCAGAGTGTGAAGTGCCTCACATAAAGGAAACCATGTAAGCTGTAGCCTCTGACCTGCCTCTCAGACAGGTCTGTAGGACTCTGGAGAAACATGTCACCATGGTTCACTAAGTATATAAATCCTGTGAGATTGGTTTGCTCAGAAAGCTTTGCTGGTGGTTGTATTAATGGAGCCCAGGGTATGTAGGAGGATAGGGATGCAATCACTTTATTCTTCTTTTTCACTGATAAAGCAATGGCACCTATTAGAGGAAGCACAATTCCCTGATAAAAACTATATTGCCAGGGATTAGAAACTCCCTCCTTGTTCAGACCACTTTTCCTTGCAAGTGTGATAGGATCAGACTCTCTTGTGAGCACCTTGACTTCCAAATAAGATATTACGAATGCCTGGAAACCCTGCTGTTACTTGCTGGAGTTGACGTATTCGGCCACTGAAACTATTTTCATCGAGTTCAGAGTAAATAAATAACAGGGTAAACTCTCTCTAAATGAATCATTCAATCACATCTTGTACTAACCCTGATTGAGGTTGTGGTATCAGCGCTGTGTATTCAGTGAAAGAAGACTGCTCTAGGGTAACAGTGGGGAACAGAGCCACGCTGTGTTCCTTTCATTCCTGTTGTTACCTATAGTTGACTTCTCTCCTCTCTCTTGTTCTATAATCTTTCTAGCTCTTTCCTTCTGTTTCTTTATTGGGTTCCATTCACCCTTGCAAAATTCTTTTTGTTCCTTTTTCAGTGTGTGCTTACCAAAGTCCTTATCTGCTTCCCTCAGAGGTCAGGAATATTGGTGATAGGCCAGGGTCTGGACAGCATAATTTTTACCAAGTAATGAGAAAGATTAACTCCTAACATTGGCTGAGACCTTTTGTGTCCCCATCTCTCTCTCTCTCTCTTTGATGTTTCCAGGCTCCTGATCCAAAACGCAGGTCATAAACTGGCAACCCAAAGGTTTGGACTATAGGGACATTTTGCCTCACAAAGTATTGTTTTTTCTTTAATTAGTTACACATTCGAACATCTTAAGATACCTTATAAAAGTCTAGATGTCTAGATCTTCTAGAAAAAGCTGAAGATGGGCATCCCCGATCTGATTCCTTGGGCATAGTGGCTGGTGCGCTCTGGTCAGCTCCTGTTCTTTTGAGAGGGCATATCTACCTCGTTCATTAACCCCACCTTCTGACTTCTGTGTGTTTACATTAGTCCACTCTGTTGTTCTAAAGAGAGTTTCTCAACCGAAGCAAAGAAAGTAGACAGTGAATTTGAGTGACCATGTTTCCTGTTCCCGCAAGGGTGGTGCATATTCCAGATGCATAGGAGAGAAGTTAGGGCATCATTAAGTGTGGCTTCACTCTCTGGTCGAAAACTGTTGAGATGGTCTAAGTATCTGTTGGGCGGAGTTGCGGGAGGAAAATATGGTAGCCAAGAATGCAGGTCTCAAAGTAAGGCATCCCTTGGCATAACACCTCATCGGATTATAGCTAAGACCAAAAACTTCAAATGTGATAGATAGAAATCTGAACAGCCACCACCTTTGGGGATGGGAATTGATTAAGAAAAGGCACAAGAAAATTTTCTTGGGTGATAAAAATGTTCCCTGTCCTGTTTGAATATTGTTCCCAACGATGTTCAGATCTGTAAATCTCATTGGGCTATGTAGCTAATAGCTGTTTATTTCACTAGAAGTAAATTATACCTCAACAGATGTACATATACATATATATGCCTACATGAAAGCAGGCAAGGTGCTAAGAAAAATGCATGATCTTTAGCCATTTTTATTGTGCTTGTTTCTAGAAACGGATTTTTTTTTTTTAAAGATAAAATGACCAAAAGTAAAATGAGTGTTTCCTTTCAAACCACAGGTTTCATTGCAGGCATTTGAGAGCACAGGTAATAGCTAAAGATTTTTGCCAGACATAATTGTCAAGGGAGAATCTACTGGATCAATTCTAATTTTATGAAACTATTGAATCACTATAGAAGGATGTGCCTAATTTGTTGTAGCTGCTTTTCATGATGCTGTAAAAATTTATAGGCTTTAGAGACATATCAAAGATGGTTTATTACCTGGGACAAAATGACTGTACTTAAAGTAACTTGCACTCTGGCTGGAATACAGTAGCCACTCAATAAGTATTCAATAATGTGTCTTAAAATTAATATCCATATTGAGACCTTTGAGCTAAAACAATCACAAAAATATTGTTTTCATTAGTAATCACATTGTTATAACCAATGGTTCACATATATCTACAAGCATTTAATATAAGAATTAAGAGAACAGATTTTCCAGCCAAACACTCTGGGTTCAAATGCTTGCTATGCCTTTAACAAGCAAAGTGATTTGGAGTAGATTGCTTAACCACTCTTTCTTATTGGCTCAACTGTAAAATACAAATGATTGTGAGACGGGTACTAATTATATGTCTGTGATGGTTAAATACAGGTAGAACCATGTCTAGCACATAGTGCCATTATACAAGTGTTTGTCATTTATGTGTGCTTTCTTTATGTCAAAAAAGTGATCTTCTTTTGCAATTTGTCTTTAAATATTGCTCAGAATCTGTGTGTAGATGGTTGGTGAAAGGAAGGTGAACTAGGAATTCAACCAGAAAAGACAGAAACCTGAAATTTATGAGAAACATACTGGTTTTCAGTTTAGCTGACTTTGGTTTTGTTACTGCCTTACTCTGTGACCATGATTAGGTCATTTTGCCTCCCTGAACTTTGTTTTCTCATCTGTTAAATAAGGATTTGGATTTTTTTTTTTTTTTTTTGAGGCAGAGTTTCACTCTTGTTACCCAGGCTGGAGTGCAATGGCACGATCTGGGCTCACCGCAACCTCCGCCTCCTGGGTTCAGGTAATTCTCCTGCCTCAGCCTCCTGAGTAGCTGGGATTATAGGCACTCGCCACTATGCCCAGCTAATTTTTTGTATTTTTAGTAGAGACGGGGTTTCACCATGTTGACCAGGATAGTCTCGATCTCTTGACCTCGTGATCCACCCGCCTCGGCCTCCCAAAGTGCTGGGATTACAGGCTTGAGCCACCACGCCCAGCCTAGGATTTGGATTTTGTATTGTCCATGTTCCCTTGTGTGTCACTGTCTGATCTCAAGTGTTTGAGTTGTGTTCATTACTATTTTATTACACAGCTTGGCCCCAAAGTCACAGAAGAGCTGTAGTAGCTTGACTCCTGTTGTCATTATCCGGTTCTGGTGGGAATCCTCCATGGGGAATCAGAAAGCACCAGCCTTGTACAACACAAAGTAGCTGGTTAGTTGAGAGGATCTCCCACTCCTATGAAGAAAGCTAACCGTAGAAGTAGCCACAATGGGGTAGATACAGCATCCTCTGCATGTAAAAATGGTTCCATTAAATCTGGGATCGGATATTTGAAATTGTTTTTCCTTCACAAGGGCATTCAGTTAACATATTCTTTTCTGGTCCTTAACGCAACATCACGGACCAGGCTAGTTTCATATAGAGCCAAATCTTCAACAATTCTTGCAATGCCTTCAAGTCTTTGCCCAATTATAGCCTGCTCCATGAGGTCAACTTTTCCCATGCTTTTAAAAATTGAGCCTGCTGTATTCCCCAGCCCC